CCTCCTCTCCCTCCCGCGCTCCCTTATCCCCGTTAGTACACGCCTCGGCGGATTCGATTCAGCAGCTTCGAAAGCTCCTCGCTATAGCAGCCGTGCAACACCGATGCAATGCCCGCTGCCGTGACGAACGACGCGATGACGCGACTTTTAAATCGACTCAAGAGTCACCTCAACACCAGTGCAATGCCCGCTGCCGTGACCGACGGAGCGACGAAACCGCGGGGACAGGGCGACCGCATCCCGCCAGTCGCGCTTGCGATCAAGAGCCAGACCGTCTGACGTGCCGTGGCCGACGCAGCGATGAAACCGCGGGGACAGGTCGAACGCATCCCGCCGCTCGCGCCGGCGCCGCTCGCGCTCCCTTTCGCGGTCGCTCTCGCGCTGGCGCGGGCGCGGGCGCTCGAGAGCCGGACCGTCTCACTAGCCGCTCGCCGCTCGCCGCTCGCGCTCGAGAGTCGGACCGTCTGACTAGCCGTGACCGTGACGGCCGCGGCGACGCGCAGCGCTGTATCTGCGAGGAAGTACGAATGGTTATAAATCAACTGAGGGCGACCCACCGTGGGCTTGACGGGGACGGCTATAACGGGTACATTGGCGTCAGCGATAGGGAGCGGAAAGCGCGCATGACAGCGACCAATCAGAGACGCTCTGAGATTGGATCGCGTGTTCGACATAGGGAGGTGTTGAGGCATCAGGAGGAAGCTTCTCGGAACGAGTGGGTTGAACGCTACCTGAGCGACTGTTTCTATACCTGTGCCGACGGTGGCGAAAGCGGAAGTGGTTTTGGCGAAAACGGAGCTGGTAACCGCAAAAGCGACATTGGCACCGGAGCGGGCGAAAGCGGGCGAGTACCGCCCCCCCTGTCCTACTACGCGCTTTCAGGTAAACGCGCGCGCTTCCCCCGCCACTCCTCCCCCCTCCCGCTCCCGCCCTCCGTTGCGCGGCCGCGGCATTCCTTCCGCCAGCCCAACACTCCTGCCGGGGGAAGCGAAAATCCCCGCTGCGGGGACCAGGGCCCCTGGCGCAAGCCGGCCGTCCGGGAGAATTCTCCCCGCGGGGGCAATAGTGCCCCTCAAGGCGGCGATTTGCGCCACGCTGGCGCTTCCCGCCCCTCCCCCCGCGGCGGGGCCAGCAACCGCGGAACGCCGAGCGTAGACTCCGCAAGGCACGCGAGAGAGAGCGGAGGCTCCCCACGGGGCGGGGTTTCGGTGGTGATTGTACACGCGGATGGAGCGGGAGGAAGGGACGGAGGGGTGACGTTGAATCGTGTCCGTCCATCTGTGAGTGCATCTCAGCCTGCGGTGCATTTCTGCGACGCTGTGAGCGCGCTGAAAGGAGTGCCGCCTGAGGTAGTGACGACAAGGGAGGTGGGAGATACGGAGGAGGGAGATAAGGAGGAGGGAGATATGGAGATGGGAGATACGGAGGAGGGAGATAAGGAGGTGGGAGATACGGAGGAGGGAGATAAGGAGGAGGGAGATACGGAGGAGGGAGATAAGGAGGAGGGAGATACGGAGGAGGGAGATATGGAGGAGGGAGATATGGAGATGGGAGATACGGAGGAGGGAGATAAGGAGGAGGGAGATACGGAGGAGGGAGATAAGGAGGAGGGAGATACGGAGGAGGGAGATATGGAGGAGGGAGGTATGGAGATGGGAGATACGGAGGAGGGAGATAAGGAGGAGGGAGATACGGAGGAGGGAGATAAGGAGGAGGGAGATACGGAGGAGGGAGATATGGAGGAGGGAGATATGGAGATGGGAGATACGGAGGAGGCAGATACGGAGGAGGGAGATAAGGAGGAGGGAGATACGAAGGTGGGAGATACGGAGGAGGGAGATAAGGAGGAGGGAGATAAGGAGGAGGGAGATAAGGAGGAGGGAGATAAGGAGGTGGGAGATTCGGAGGAGGGAGATACGGAGGGGGGAGATACGGAGGGGAGGGGTGAGGAGGAAAGCGGCATATGCAGCAGTGGCGGCCGTAGTGGTGTAGGGCCCAATTACAAGGCTAAAAGCGGCACTGTAACTAATACGATTCGAAATCGATGTGCATTCAAACGGGTGGACGGCAACGTGCCACGTCAGAATGACTCCGGAGGACGCCACGTGGCAGAAGGAGAGGCGCCAGGTCTGGTGAGGGCGGAGGGGTGGGTAACGGTTCTATTGGAACAAAGTGGGAAGCAGCTGCGGGCTTTGACAGCCGAGGAGAAACGGCATGTGACAGGACGATTGGCAGTAAGAGAGGACGAGAACAGCGCTCCTTATGTTTCTAACGAACGACTGAAGATGCTAGTATCGAGGATGAGCGACGGTGGCCCTGCAGGGGCGCCAGACGAATGGACGCACACGGTGCCTGAATCAGTCACTGCTGCTGTGATGGACGGTGGCGATGCTGCTGTGATGGACGGTGGCGATGCTGCTGTGATGGACGGTGGCGATGCCACTGTGATGGACGGTGGCGATGTTGCTGTTACGGATGCTGGAGAAGCCGAAGCTGCTGATGCTGCTGATGCTGATGCTGCTGCTGCTGATGCCGATGCTGCTGCTGATGGTTCTGCCGTTGATGCCGATGTTGAGGCGGATGCTGCTGCTCGTGCTGATGCTGCTGCAGTTGCTGATGGTGCCGAAGGAGGCGTGGAGGAGGGAACAGTGGGGGCAACGACAGCAGAAGAGGTGGGAGCGGTCGAGAGAGGAGAGCAAGGCGGGGCAGAGCAGGAGAGAGAGGGGGTGGAGGGTCTGGTTGATCTGGCAGCATATGAGCAAGGTGGGGTGGAAGAGCAGCAGCAGCAACAGGAGCAGCAGCAGCAGCAACAACAGGAGCAGCAGCAGGAGGAGAAGCAGCAGCAGCAGCAGGATGAGGCAGGCCGGGAGAAACATGCTGAGAAGCATGAGGGGAGGAACCAGGAGGGAGAGGAAAAAGGTGGTACAGGCAAGGAGAAGGGGCAGGGGGCAGCAGCGGCGGAAGAGGAGGCGAATGAGGAGGAGGGGAGGGAGGGAAGGGAGGAGGATGAGAAGGAGCGGGAGCGGGAAGCAGAGGAGTGGGAGGAGAGCGAAGGGGTGATCCTGGGGGTGGTGAGGCAGAACTCGTTTGACCGAGGCAGGGGCGTTCGCAAGCTCATTGCACGTGCACGCTCTTTGAGTAAGTCGTCTTTGCAATTCACAATAACGGGCAGTTTTGTGAATTCTAGAAATCCTGTCATAGCAAAGGGGTTCGCACGCTCACTGAGCAAGTCATTTGGCCATTCTTATTTGGCCATTCTTATTTGTCACCTCATTTGTCACTTCTTGTTCTTCTGTTGGTTCCTCATGCATGCTTATTTCATCATACACATTTGCCCTCTCACCTCCCCTCTCACCTCCCCTCTCACCTCCCCTCTCACCTCCCCTCTCACCCCCCCTTTCACCTCCCCTCTCACCTCCCCTCTCACCTCCCCTCTCACCTCCCCTCTCACCTCCCCTTTCACCTCCCCTCTCACCTCCCCTTTCACCTCCCCTCTCACCTCCCCTCTCACCTCCCCTCTCACCTCCCCTTTCACCTCCCCTCTCACCTCCCCTCTCACCTCCCCTCTCACCTCCCCTCTCATCTCCCCTCTCACCTCCCCTTTCACCTCCCCTCTCACCTCCCCTCTCACCTCCCCTCTCACCTCCCCTCACCTCCCCTCTCACCTCCCTTCTCACCCCCCTCTCACCTCCCCTCCCACCTCCCCTCTCACCTCCCCTCCCACCTCCCCTCTCACCTCCCCTCTCACCTCCCCTCCCACCTCCCCTCTCACCTCCCCTCTCACCTCCCCTCCCACCTCCCCTCCCACCTCCCCTCTCACCCCCCTCTCAACCCCCTCTCACCAGGCCCAGGCCCTGCCTTGCAGTCGCTACTCCACCGCACAGGAAGCAGCACAGCAGGCAGCACCAGATGGGGCAGCAGCATGAGGGGTCGTGCCGTAAGGGAGAGTAGCATAAGCGGCAACACCACCACTGACAGGAGCAGTGAACGGAACAGCAGGGTTGACGAGAGAGGCTCGGGGAATGGCACGGGCGCCAGCCGCACTGCTGACGCCATCAGAACGCTGCTGAGGAGGCACGTTGCGAGGGACATTGCTATTGGTTCAGAGAGCACGTCAGCAAGTGCTACTGGGCTGGATTCCTCGTGGGCTGAGGATGGGGCGTCTGCTGCAGGAAAGCGGGAGGCAGCAGCAGCAGCAGCAGCAGCCTCTGCAGCAGGCGCACCAGCAGCGGATAGCAGGGGGCAGCACGGACGAACGCCACGGGTGCGAGTAGCAGCAGTGCGAATCAAGCGGGGGCCCAAGGTGGTCCCTCAGAAGCAGGCAGAGGATGCGGAAGGAGGAGGGGCATGGGGAGAGGAGACCGGGGAGGAGGAGGCGACAGGAACACAGGGGCAGAAGGAGAAGCAGAAATACCTGCCGCAACTCTCTACAGCGGAAGAGAAGCGCCAACAGAAGGGAAGCTCCAGTGTCCATCAACAGCAGCAGCAGAGGCAGAGATACCTACCGCAGCTGTTTGCTGACCGTGCTCCATGGCAAAGGAGCGCCTATCACCACCAGCAGCAGCAGCGGAAATATTTGCCCGAGCTGGTTGGCAATGCTGTAGAAGGGGAGTATTCGAGCAGTGTGTTGCAGTCCCTCCTGTTTCGCCCTCGAGGGAGGAACCAGAGCCCAGCTAGAGCAGTCTTTCAAAAGTGAGCAGTCTTTTAAAAGTGAGCAGTGCCCCAAAACGTTGCCACTTGTAATCTGTTTACACTCATGTTCTTCTTCTGCTCCGTTCAGCACCAGTTTGCACGGTTGTGTCCCCCCCCCCCCTACCCACCCACCCAAGATTCAAGATTCTATAATGGAGCCAGGAGCATAACTCTTACATTTCATCCTGGTCGGGTGTCATAACTCACCAGAGATTTCAGTTAGTACTTCGAGTTGTACCGTAAGTATACCATGATATACACAGTCATATAGGAACGAGTGCATATAGCCTACTCGAGATAGTAACAACACGATAACAGAAATATATAAGGGCCACAATGTGTGGCATACCGTTGGTTGTGCACTGCGCAGCTACTAAGAAGCGAAGGCATGCAGGAAAGAAAGTGTACAATATGATGCAGTGTCCAAGGCGTCGAACTGGCAACACAGCATCCCGAAGGCTGGGCAGTGGGCACTATAGCATGCGGATGAAGCACATCCGCAGCAGGTTGACACAGAGATGCGCGAAAGCGGGCTCCACCAGCCCCAGGCCAACAGGGCAGCAGCGCAGAGCCCCAGGTATACATCCACCAGGCCTCTGGATAGGATTAGAAGTACTCTTTCTTGTAAGGGTACTCGCTTGCTGCCACTTTTTCTGTAAGGGTATATTTAAAAGCTACTTTGTAATATAAGGGTCCTAAATATTTGTACTTTTTCACATAAGGGTATAACTCCAGCGCAGCCTTACACTTTACTGTAGGTACAGGATCTCGCGTGATCAAACGACTGACGTGTTGCAGATTTGTGACGACGTGCCTTGGGTGGCACTCGACAGGGTGCACCAAGATTTTTGTTTTTGTTTGTTAGCGCTGAAGTGGGGGGAATGTCGCACCTCGGTAATTTTGCTGTTAGTGCGTATTTCTACATTAGTGCTTTCAGTACCAGAGAACCAAACTTCGCGAAGTACCAAATCGAACCGAACAGGAATTCGCGTTTTGACCCTCGGACCTCACCGTTTCGCGTTTCAGAGTCCATTCCGGGTTTGCTGGTAGTGATTACTGTCTTGTAGAAATACGACCTCATTCCCTAGACCCTTCCTGGTCGCGACCTCATTTCCCGTTGGTGCCGCACTCGTTTTTTGTTTTTTTTTTTTGTTTTTTTTTTTGTTTTTTGTTTTTTTTTTGTTCTTTCATTTCTTTAGCTAATGTAGTGGCCGATACGACTCTACCAACACGAATTATACATTCAAGTCGGCAAGTTTTGTAACCGTGCGCATGAATTCTTGGGTGAGTGGCAGCAAAAAAAACGTAAACCATTAGCAGAAGAAATTGACGACTTGAATCCCCGTCGTGCGCGGGCAGGGGCCAGGTAAAAACCCGTGGAAACTTCAATTCAAGTCGCCGAGATTCCCTCGCCGAAGTGGGTAGGGGGGAAGAGAAAATTTGACATATCACGTCCAGGGCTTTGTTTTCGTTTCAGGCTACCCTGTAATTTCAAAGTAGTTATTCCCCCGAGTCTGACTGGAACACACTTGGAACTGGGGGACTTAGCCGAATCCTCCGGGTTGCGAAGGTACTACAGCGGCTTTGTCTCTGCGAGTGGGGGACTTCACCAATTTTTCGGGGTCGCTCGAGGGCTGTGGGAGGAATGCCTTAGGCAGTGGGGGACTTAGCCGAAATCTTGGGTTGCGGGGGGTATAGGAGGAATGACTCTCGGATTGGGGGGACTTAGCCGAAATCTACAGGTTGCCAAGGGGATAAAATATTTCAGGGGGGGATCGCATGTGTGATTGTGTAAGGGTGATTTTACACAACACTTTTCCGCATCAGGGTCCCTACACTCGACCACTTTGAAAAAACAGGGTCCCGTATAGATCTAGTTTTTTTCATAAGGGTCAAAAACTAAACCACTTTTAAAAATAAGGGTCCAACAGCTACCCCACCCTTATTATAAGGGCCGTAAGGGTATTTTACCCTGATATCCTGAGGCCTGACATCCACCCTGCAGCAAGGGGGATACCTATGTGAAGGCCACTGTAGCACCCCCGTGGACGGGGGATATGTGAAGGCTCGGCCACTGTAGCATGCAACTCACAGAATCCAAATGATGCACGGAAGCAGCAGGTCAACGCAGAGGAGGTGCACGAGGGTGGCCTCCGTCCACCAGCCGGCAGTGAGAGCAGCGCAGAGGCCCAGATATGCATCCACACTTGTATGGGCGATGATATGAGTGTGAAGGCATTCACACTGCTACGGCATGCGGATGACAGAGGCGCAGCAGGTCGATGTAGAGAAACACGAGGGTGGGCTCGACCAGCCCTAGCACCCCCCCCCCCACACCCCTGCATCTGAGTTGAAGCGAAGACACACCGCTGCAGCATACGGATGATGCAGAGGCGCAGCAGGTCGACGTAGAGAAACACGAGGGTGGGCTCCACCAGCCCAACGTCAGCCAGAGCAGCAGCACTGAGTCCCAGGTAAACGTCCACCCTGCAGCCACTGCAGCATTCACACTGCTACAGCATGCGGATGATGCAGAGGCGCAGCAGGTCAACGTAGAGGTACACGAGGGTGGGCTCCACCAGCCCCACGTCAGCCAGAGCAGCGCAGAGCCCCAGATACGTGTCCACCCCTGCATCGCCCCTCTGCAACCTCTTCAGTAAGAGAGCCAGCTGGTGGCCGTTGGGGTGCATGCCGCGCTGCACCATCTGCATGGGGGAAAGGGGGGAGGGGGGTGAGGATAGACAAGGATGAAAACGCAAACCTTATCACTGCATTCACTGTTCCACGCAAATGCTGCCAAGTGCTTCTCACCTCCCTCATGGCATAGGCAGCCACGTCCAGATGCCCGCCCATCGTGACAGCATCTGATGGCATATTTCCATCCAACCTGGTTCACTGCACATGCACATCACTCATTCCTATCACCTCCCTCATGACATAGGCAGCCACGTCCAGATGCCCGCCCTACATGGCAGCATGTGACGGCACATGGCCATGTCCCTTGCTTCATGCCACATTCACCCGGTTGCCACACCCACTCCTCTCTCACCTCCCTCATGGCATAGGCAGCCTTTTGAGGCGCCTCCAAAGTCATGTGATGGCACATGGCCATGTCCCTTGCTTCATGCCACATTCACCCGGTTGTCAATCCCCCCTCTCACCTCCTTCATTGCATAGGCAGCCACGTCCAGATGGCCGCCCTTCATGGACCCCCCCACCATGAGCGCATACGCCCACTCGTCCAGCGGGCAGTTGAGCGCCTCCACGCGCCGCACGAAGCTGATGAGTGCAGCAGGGAGGGGGGGAGAGGGCTTTTGAGTCGACTCAAAAGGAGGGGGGGAGAGGGCAGCGAGGGGAGGAGAGAAGAGGAGAGGGATGGGGGAACAGGGGGTTTGAAGACAAGGGGAGCAGCAGCCCAGCATGAGCGCATACGCCCACTCGTCCAGCGGGCAATTGAGCGCCGCGCCTCCAAGCAACACACGAGGCTGTGAGGAGGAACGGATGGTAGGAGAGGCAGAAGGAGGAGGGAAGGCAACACAAGGGTGGCAGCAGGCCTGCATCAGCACATGCATGTGGCGGGCAGCACATCAGCACATGCATGTGGCGGGCAGCACATCAGCACATGCATGTGGCGGGCAGCACACCAGCACATGCGTCCACTCGTGTGATAGAAGTTTAATTTTGAGACGTCTCGAAACTAAACTTCCAGCATCAGCACACGCGTCCACTCGTGTGATGCGCCCACCCTCCCTGCATTCCCCCAATCTCTCACCTATTGAGCGCCATATAGTTGCCCCAGTAGCAGTACAGCCCCGCCACGCTCGAAGCCAGGTCAACGGGAATCCGCCCTCCCTGCTCCACCACCCCCCACAATGCTTCCTCTGCCCTCTCCGCATTGCCAGCGTTGAACCAAAACGCCACCAGTTTCAGTTGCATATCCGCTTGTGCCCGCGCTGATGCCAGCTCCCCTGCTAGCAGCACCTGCCGATCCCTCTCCCTCTCTTTCTCTAGTCTCTGCATCTCCCTTTGCTGCCTCTCGCTATGCATCGCTTGGGCTTCCCATCTGCTAGGTGATTCTTGAGAATTCTCAGAAAGCTCCTTTTCCACTCCTAGCACTACCTCCCTCTGCGCCACTGACCCGCCCCGCTCCAACGCCTCTCGTCTCCCACTGTGGTGCAAGTCCAGCAGCAACAACGAAGCACCAGGCTCCAGCAACCTACACCTCTCCTCTTCCGCCCCCTCCCCATCCTCGTCCCGTGGTACCCTCTCCTCCTCCCCTCTGCATCCCACACCTGCCAGCTCTGCGAATCTCTTTTCCCGCCCTCCCTCTCGCCCCCTGGCCGGCTCTAAAAGCTCTGATATCCGCTTCTCCCGCTGCTGCTCGCGCCCCCTGATTTCCTCTCTTAGTCTCTGCAGGTCGGCCTCACACTTGTCAGCACACCACTGCACTGCTTGCGCTGCCTCGTTCTGCAGCGTTGCCCCATAAATCTGCAAACACGTGTGACACAGGAAAGGGGCAGTGGGAGGCAGCGGGGATTCGGAGCGAGAGAGGAGAGGAGGGGGATGCTATGGCCTTTTATTCGTTTATTACCTCCAAAAGCATGCAGACAGCAGCAGACAATTGCCCCACCACCACCACCCCTGACTGCTGCAGGCCCCTCAGCTCTCTCCTCGCTTACCTCTCTACCAAGAAGCTACGACCAGCCACGACTCCTCAAGACCCCTCTTCCCTTTCCTCACCTCTAGCAGCAGGCTGTCAGCCATCGACAGCTGCCCCACCACTCCTGACTGCTGCAGGTCCCTCAGCTCCCTCCTCGCCACACTCAGCCTCTCCCGCTCCTTCACTGCACCCACCAGCACCGCACTGTACCCTGCCACACCCACCTCCACCCCAGCCTCCATCAGCATCCGTGGCACTGCTAGCACCTGGCGGTACTGCCCGGCTGTAACGGCTCTCAGCAGCAGTAACCCTACCAGGTCCTCTCGTTCCTCTGCTGCCAGCATTGCTGCCTCATCCCCCACTGTCTCTGACTCCAACTCGCCCGCCTTTGCCTCTCTGCCTGCGGTTTGCCCCTGCCCCTGCCCTACTCTCGACTCACTTGCACCCCCTGTGCTTGCTGTCGCCTCACTTGTCCCCCCTGCGCTTACTTCTCTGCCTCCTGGTCTGCTCTGCTGCTGGGTGGAAACCCCACTTCCTTCCCCTCCTGACAAACTACCATCTCGCCTCCTTCCCTCTGCCCCCCCTTCCAGTCCCCCCCCAGGTATTCTCTGTAAAGCAACGTCCTTGCGGCTGCTGCCGCCGCTGCTGTTGTCACTGCTGCTGCGACTGCTGCTGCCAGTCGTCCCACTGCTGTTCGCTCTGACCAGCAGCTGCAGCTTCAGCCGCTCCTGAATCTCCAGCTTGGCGCTCGAGGGGCTCGAGGGGCTCGAGGGGCTCGAGGGGCTCGAGGGGCTCGAGGGTGGGCTCGAGGGGCTCGAGGGTGCGTTCACAAGCTGCTGCGAGACTGAGATGAGAACGAGGGCGGGGGAAACCGAGGGAGGCTCGGATGCAATTGACGTTCAGATTAAGGAATGTGCATCCGGACCATGCGTGCATACCAACCATGCATGCATACGGACCATGCGTGCATACGGACTCTGCATGCCGCAACCATGCATGGATGGGAGAAGGAGGGCTTCAGAGCATGAAGAGGCTATGGAGTATGGACCAGGGCAACGGCATCCCCGTTTTAAGGTGCGTTAGTTTTTTTAGAATTCTAAAAAAACTAACTCAGCCTATGGGGTGCGGAAAGCAGCAGGAGGAGAGGACGGGAGAGACAACGGAGAGAGAGACACGGGAGAGACACGGGAGAGACATGGGAGAGGCATGGGAGAGACACGGGAGAGACATGGGAGAGACATGGGAGAGACACGGGAGAGTGGGAATGGGAGCGACGGCAGGAGAGCAAGCGGGAGGGCGATGGAGGGGGACAGAGGTGAGTGAAGGGGCCGGGGGGGGGAAGCAGCAACCCTTATTACCTTGAGTTGCGCAGTCATGTCGCCTCACCTCCCCATTTCCCTCCTCGCCAACAATCTCCGCCTCATCCTCACTCTCACTCGACCCACCCCACACACTCTCCGTCGCACTGTCCTCCCACTCTTCTTCCTCCTCCTCCTCCTCCCTCTCTTCCTCCTCCCCCTCTTCCAAAGCTACGATCCTCACTCCAGCGACCACCCCCTGCTCCTTCCATGCACTTTCCTCCTCGCTCAGGAACATTCTCAGAAGCTTCACAACTTCCACCACCGCCCCCCGGTCCCACAGCTCCTCCCCGAGCATTCTTTTCAGCGGAAAATCCGGGGGCAGCCCGAGATCCACCATCCTGCCCACCAGCCGCAAAACTTTCTCCGTCGGGCAGCCCTCCTGTAGCAGCTGCCCGAGGCGCTGGTCCATGATGACGTGGATGAGGCGCCGCGTCTGGCGCTCCACGCGGTTTCCGCGAACCATCCAATCGTAGACCTCGAGGGCCTGCCACATGTCGCGCCCCTGTTGAGCGAAATACGCGACGAGAATCTCGAGGTCCTCTATAGAGAGCTTGTCCTGCTCAGGGTGGGAAGGCGGGGGCGGGGGAGGGGGGAGGGGGGAGAAGAGGGGGTTGGGGGAGGGGAGATGGCGGGGAAGGGAAGCAGGTGAATGGGCGAATCATGCTATGAGGATCTCGAGGCCCTCTATAGAGAGCTCGTCCTGCTCGTGTGGGGGGGGGGGGGGGGGGGGGGGGGGGCGGAGTTTCGGGGGAGGGGGTGGGGGGAAGAGAATGTGGGATGTGGGAGGCGAGAGACAGGGAGCGGGTGTATGGGCTATGAGAATCTTAGGGTCCGCTGATGAGAACTTATCCACCCTTTCATTTCGGTTCTCGTTTTATTTCCATACCGCCATGACTCGCTTTTCCCCAGCTAATACCACTCTCCCGCCCTCGCTACTATCGCGTGCCTGTATGCTATCGAGCACTGGTTCACCGCGTTACATACACCCACCGGTATTACCACATGAATACTGTCACGTACCTGCATGCTATCGAGCACCGCGGCCGGTTCTCGCATCATGGCTTCCAGTTGCCGAACCGCCTCCATCACCGCTACTGACCGTTGCCATCCCTGCCCCTCCGAACCTACCGCCAGCTCCAATCCCGTTCCTCCCAAACCTGGCCGCAGTCCCGAACCTAATCCTGCCTCGGCAGTTGCCATGGTTGCTACAGTAACCCCGCGCCTACGACATGCGGTTGGTCGGTAATCCGAATTCGAATGATGGTGACGAAGAAGGTGTCTACTGTGGTAACCCGAGCGAAAATCCTCGCCAGCGAACCCGCGGCAGGCTACAGACCCAATACCACTGCTGCTTAACAGCGTTGCTCGAAAGCGGTGCGGTGTTCGAGAGCTCGAGATACTAGGAGACGGATTCCTAGCCAAGCTTGAAGCTTGCGTTGAACTTGACACTTGCCGCGTTGCGCTGTTTGTATATTCAGGCGTCTCGAAACCTGTCGCACACTGTCGCGATGCTACCAGCGTCTCCCCCCGTCGCCTTCGGCTTTGTCGCAAGGAGGGACTCAACCCGCCGCCATAAGAAGCGGAGACAGCGGTTGTGACGCGATTCGTTGCAGGAGGAGGCGCGCCGAGAGGAGGTAGTGGGGTGGCAGTGGGATGCAAGCAGAGGCGATGGGAGGCGCTGACGTGTCCGCTGACGTGTCCGCCGACATTTCGGCTGGAGGGCCTAGAGGTTGTGAGCTGATAGGCCGTCAGAGGAGCGCGGTTGACGGAGACCTGATGAGCCATCGACCCGTTACTGCTGCTAAGCCCCAGTTAGGGTGCTTCTTGCTTGATCAGCGAGGAATCCCTAGAGCGTGACGAAGAAACTCGCTTCAATGATGTGGACTTGATCGATGTGCCTTGTTAGGCAGGGGAAGGGAGAGACAACAAGAAGGAGCGTAGGAAAGAGGGGTGTGGCTATGTGCTTGCGTGTGCAGCTCTCCCTACTCACAAGCATTCATTGGACAGCCATGGCGGTGCGGTGGTGGTAATCAGGAGAAGAAATCCGTGTCAGCCATGAATGCTGTGGATGGTTGATGGAGGTCTTGAACTTCTCCGATTCACCCAAGCTGCCCTAGAAGCGATTCCGGTCTTTCCTTGGACATCTGGGAAATTTTGGTGATAGTGGGCATTTTCACGCTCAATGGTTCTGAAACTGCAAGTACGCCGCTCTCCCACACTAAAAGCCCCGACAACTTTTACATATGTGTACTGAAACAATTCGGACAAATCAAACTTCGGTACAACTCGGAAGTTCAGTACTCTGCGGCTAGTTACCCGCGAGAGGTGCGATGGAATCTCGGGTATTTTCCAGTGAGCAATGACAAGGTGTTCTCGTTGACGTGGTGCGCTCTTCATCTTCGCTGCGCTGGGGAGCAAACCAGTGACGTAGCAGCGCGCGATAAGGCGAAAGCCAATTGGCGACAGGCGAAACTTGCCAAGGTGGCGAGCCGTCACTCACTCGTGCGGCGCATCCTTGTTGGTGGGACGTCATCACAAGCCACAAATCTGGCTGTCCCTCAAGGTAGGAAGTGCAGCAATACAGCTGCCTCTACATAAGGATATTACTATACTCGAGTTGCAAACGACTTCATCTGATTGGTACTATCAGCAACAAATAAGAATTCAGAATATTGTGTATATTTAAAAACCCCAGCAATTTTTTTTTGTAGAATTCTAACGTGATACTTCCACGAGATCATGGATGGAAGGCCTGTGAAAAACCTCGCCATTTTTGTAGGCCTGTGAATTATAATGTGTTCGTTCAATCAATTTGAATGGTGAAAAAACTTCTCCTACATCTGATGAAAGAAAAATGTACATCTCAGTTCTGTGCACAGCAGGGAAGGCTCATCATGTTATCATGTTAGGTTATGAATTGTATTGTTTCATAATTTCAGAAGTATAATAATACACCTAGCCCGCGGTATTTTCACAACCAGTATTTTCACACGGGATGCCGCCGAGTGGGTATTCACCCCCCGGAAGCAGCTCCTGAAGAGCAGATCCGGATACCCTTTGGAAAACAATTTATACTTGGGGTTTCTACACGAAATTTTACTGCTCGATGTAGTGTTTCTCTTGTCAGGAAACCTGACGTCAGCTTAGGCAGTGCTCAAATTTTTGCCCCCGTGGGGTCTGCGAATCTTAGACCCTAGGAACAAGAGGATACTGTCTACGCACTCAGAAATGGTCAGGGTGGAAACCAAAATTCCTAAGCCGCTCATTTTCAGGCTGTACAATTACCACGAGATATGTGTACAAATCCTGCTTTGGGATCAGTTTTGAACTGTATTGATTCCTACGAAACATGTCAGCCTCGTGGAACAAATCCCTCAAATTCGGGTAGGAAATGTACCCCCTAAATTGTTTGGTAACCTTGAAGCTGGCTCTCGTTTCACGGTGTCGAAAGAATCGGGTGACTCGTCAAAGATGGGTATTTCACGAGAGTGTGCCAAGAGACATACGTTATGAAAGAAATAATTAAGTTTAGCTACGCTAAAACGTTCACAGTCCCCCCAAGACGGAGAGTGGAAGGAGATTCGGATTCTCCTAAACGGTGGGAGGTCTGTCGTCAACAAATTTTCGGCTAAGCGACCGAGCTCTCGCCATGAACCCTTTATTTTCGGACATATGTGAGGGCATTGCACTTGAATCGTCAGCTCTGCCCAAGTCGTCCTTTCTCCAAGGACAGCACGACACTGTAGGATCCGGTAAACAACGAAACATGTGACACACGACGCCATGGTGTATCCAAACAAAAGCGGCGGCGACAATCACACGCCACGATAGATGGGAAAGCTTCACTGCGATTGGTTAAACCCATCAATTCCTCCCGTCCCGTCCTCGCAGATCGGGGACTTGCCCACCCGATTTTCGCCCGCGACAAGCTCAAGCCTTGGAGAACCCGACTCGCACACACAGCCCCAGAGGGCTGCTTTGTTTTGTGGGCAGATCAAATTCGGATAAGATCTACAAGGCGTTGTTTTGGCCTTTATTGTGGTACAGCGTGATATCGCGCGGTATCCCTTCAACTCCATACCATACCCCCCCTTGGCTCTTGCCCAGTGCGTACATACTGTATTGTACACCTCATCTAGCTTTGTAATACCAGAATCTGTAACGCGTCCTGCAACGAAAACGCGAAAGACCAAAACCTGGGGCAAACGCGACATTATCCCCAAAGTCCGTTAACAAATGTAATCATGGCGTGTAGCAAGCTTCGAATCATCTGAAAATCGGGTGGTAACCTGGTGTTTGCTAATCCGGGTAACCGATTGCGAGGCAAAGTCCATGTAGGTGGTTTAGAAGTTAGCTCGACATGTGTTATCTAACCAGTTAAAACTAAATAAAATGACCCACATGCAGGTGATGGTTATAATACTGATCTATACGTCGAATGGTCCCCAACAAAACCACCCCTACCAGCCAGGCACTACCGCACCCAACCGTACCCCAACCGCACAAAACATATCGCGGCAAACAAGCCTTGAAATAAACTCCCATCTTAGAAGCAGGTCAAGAGTAGGCTTAGCCACGTGAACCGCAACACATGCTACGATTATTTCGCACATCTGTTAGAGAGAATATCTAACTATCCAACTATAAGGTGACAATACTAGTTAAAGTCGAGCCTCGCTCCCGCAATGTAGTTCGACGGGCTAGCGCGCTGCGGCGCTTGGGTTTTTTCCCCATCTTTTCTCATTAAAAGTAGCGATGATGTGCCCTCGTAGCTCCCCATTTGTCAGGGCCGTATCGATTGTTTGCTGCCAATCCGTACCCCACCGGATGCCCGTTTCACCGTTAGGAATCAACCTACAGCTAGTATACGCGCAGTGGGAGCTCAGCGTATTTATTCAGCCCCCCCTCCCCCCCCCTCCCCCCCCCCTCCTCCCCCCCCTCCCCCTACCCCCCTCCTTCCCCCCTCCTCCCTACCCTGGCCCAGGATATTCGACTCGCCCGGCGCCCTCCCTCCTTGTATGGGCGTTGCGTGTTGTTTTGCCAGGGGCGGAGCGGGCGTAGCGGCCGCTCTACGAAGAATCCGCGCCGCTCGGTCGCTCGCACTCATACAACGCCACTGGCAGCACAGCTGCCGAGGCATTGTGTTCGCCCTTCGATGAGTGTGGTCTGTAGAGTTGCATCTAAGTGGTCAGGGCGAGTCACATATTCGACAAACAAGGGTCGACCTTGTAGAGAGGTTGGGAACTGTCTTTTTTTTTTTTTTTTTTTTTTTTTTTTTTTTCGTGAAGAAGTGGTATAGTGTGATGGATGTTCAGATCGACGGTGGTCGTAAAAACTGTTAACAAAATATCAAAAATGCCTGGTGTGTGGTATTCCGAGGGTCTAAGACATTATGTGGTTGTGTTTTACAAGCACGATCGGCATGAGCTGTTGAACGGACCAGAGGAGCTCGGTGTACGTCTGTCAGACAAGTAAGTAGAGGAGGGGTACAAAGAGAGTCTGATATGGTGCCTACTGATGACAAGAGGATTGCGTGCCGAATCTGACGTGTTGTATTATAACTCTACTAGTAGGCGAGATCCTTTATGGTGATTTAGATCAGAATTCACATTGATCTATTTTCCATTTGTTAAGATCTTTGAGTGTGTTTTGATTGGTGGATTGTTGGGTTGCCACAATCATTGCTTTTGATCTCGATTCAGATTCTCTTCGTGGGCGACTATAAGCAGGGCGACTAAGGCTGGGAAACAGAACAAGTCTTATTGTATTTTTGTAGTTCTATTGTAACTTCGACTCCTGTAACCAAGATGATGTGTATGCATTTCAATAAATCTGCCTTTCGATACCATTTGATCCTCCTGAATTGGGGACATTGGATCGCACAGTGCCAAGTAGTCTGATACACCTTTAGTCCAGTGAATTGCTCATTCATTAGACGCTACGGGTCTAGTTACAGGCCTATTGGTTCGAACACACGGGCAACGGCTCAACCCACAGAGGCCCACTGATTTCCAGCAGTTACCTCACCTGATATTGAGACCTCCAAACGTGCAGACGGGACGTTCTGAGGCCCCACACTGCTGTCCGAGGAACGCATAAGAAACAACAACGGTCACCCGCTTTAGACTGAAAAATGCCAACTTGGTAACCAGACTACTTTATATTGGCCCCCTTTCGCCCGTGAAAGTTTTGCGCTTGATTCTGGATCAATCGTCTGAAAACAAACTAGGCTTGAAAAGGAATTCTTTTGTAGATCCATCTCCTAATCTCGCTCTTGATGTTGCTTCACGAGCTCGACATCCATTTTCACGGCAGATTTTCCGTCACCTGATTTTTTCACGTGATCCGTTGACGTGCGTTACTCTCCATCGCACATTTGTAGATATATCCGACGTGGAAGGCGGTACTGTAGTGCTCGCTGGAGCTCCCCCCCGTCCTCGACATGCGATTGTAAATCTCGATTTCGTAAAGCACCCTGGCGATGAACTTATTGGGTTGGGCCTTGAAGTCTTCTGCTGTGGTGGGCGTACCGTGTCTCGCATGGATTCGAGTCGATTGCATCGTGGTGATATGATCAGCTTCCCCCCAGTGGTGGCGACGACGCGACATGCGTTTTGGTCGGAGGAAAGGACCAGGAGAGTGGGCGGAGCTCACTAGAGAAGAAATCCGAGCGCCTGAGCTTCGCACTGCCACCATAAAATGCTGCGCGTAGTTGCTTGTCAGACATCAATCTCTACATTTGGTGTTACCCGTACTACTGCTCTCCGCAACCGCCTATTTTCCTGCTCTGCGCTGCTCCTCACAAAGCCGCCTACATTCATCCCAAAATTCCAGGATCAGAAATACGGAGTAGGTATACAGTAGGTATGGCATAGGTACGTCTGCTACGGAGTAGCCTTGCTATACGAACAACTATACCTACAATATAGGAGAGGTCCACATTTTTGTGATGTTACTACTGTTAGACGATTTCTGACGAGTTCCCCCATTTCCCCCGTTTCCTGTCACATCATGGCGGCCCGTCTCTCGCTTCAACAGCCAACAACTCCGCAATCCGCGTACACACGTTTTGAGACTCTCGATCTATATCCGTCTGCTGACGTCAACGAGCCGCAGCTCGCGCTAGACTTTTACGCGTCGGACGCGTTGTTTGCGCGGCATTCTCGCCCGCCAGTGCGTCCTAGCTGCTCTGCGCAAGCTCTCCACGCGATACCCAGTGCCGCTTCATGCGGAAGTTCCGCCGCCCTTCGCTGCGGCGGGAACACGGCGCCGTCCGCCCGCCGCCGCGCCCTTTCCGCCTCCGAGTGCGGAAGAATCTTGTCCCCCTCGCCTCCCCGCGCGAACAAACCCGCCACCTGCGCGTTCCGCCGCCGCCGCCACCAGCTCACGCTCTCGAAGTTATCCCCCTCCAAAGTCGCGGCAACCCAGCGCTCGGGCTCAAATCCTGGGAGCTCGTTCAACTTCTCTCCTGAAGATGATAAACGCGCGACGTCTCGAGTCTTCGCCAGGAGTAACGCTTATTCCACCCCAGTGACTGTGGTCCGAAGCAGGCTGGCGAATCAAGCAGATCCATACACGCAGATGGTCGGATCACATGCGGAAGCGTCATCATCTCGGACAGAATCCGAGCTACATCAAGCAGATCGTGCAATGGCTGCTGCACATCCAGCAAGGACACCATCATGCGATGAAGAGAGTGCAGCCGCGAGAGGGTGCATGCCATTTCTTGTGCGGGGAAGGAGAGCCATGAGAGGACGACAGCCGGGAAGCAGTGGGAGCAGGGGAAGCAGTGCGAGGCCCAGCAGTGCTCCTTCCTCTCCCCGTTCACCAGGGGCTTGCAGCAGCAGCAGCACCACCACCACCACAAGCGGCGACTGCTGTAGCAGGAGGGCTGCGACTGGGAATTCCCAGCTTGTCAAGCCGTGCCTCACTGCGCCTTCTAGCACCACCACCACTACCAGTAACCCTGAAGAGGGCTCGCCCAGGAGGAGCCCGAGGCGGGTGAACTTTGTCAGATATGTTGAGGTTTTGGAGTATGTTGCATAGGCAGATAGAATTCTTCCCTTACCATTAAGTGTACATATTTGCAAAATCTGAAATCCCCAACATCTACAGATTTGCCAATTTCCCCTTGTTTTGTTGCATAGCAATGATAACAATTGTTCGATGAGTACCCATATAGACCAAGTGACTAATAATGGAATGTGAATCCTTACCGTAGAGTCTTATTATGATATTCAACATTGATTTAGCACCTAACTGTTATGCTGCGGTAAAATGGGCAAGCTGAACCGGCTATTTGCCGTCCTCTCAATGACGGACGGCACAATGTCGAGTCATTTTGGAGCGTGTCCAAGAGTGGATGTGAACATCCGTCGGGAAACGGATGCGGGAGAACCGATCGTAGTTATATACAAACGCCTGCATCGGGTAACGAAAACGTAAACGAACCGTGCTGTAACCCTCGGTGAATGTTAACGGATGTCGTCGACATCCAGTCTGGACACGCCTTACGAGGCCCCCGATTCTGCCATCCTCAAACCACCACCTCTTCCCCTGCTATCTCAACCCCTGAATCTCGCACATCGAAGTATTTCGATTATCTTCAGTACGGTTGAGTGCAATATAGTATCTTGTGAGCCATTCTATCTCATCCCTCCGCTCCCATCGTCTGGTCGTTTACTTCTGTACCTCTCAACAATTGTTTTGAAACAAACAAAATCACACTTTACCGCGTTGTACCTGACCAACGGTCCAGTCCCATCATTTCGACTTCTACTTGCCACATGCCCTTACCACTTGCTCTGCCAGTGAGCCATTTCTATGGCTCCCCCTTCACGGTTCGAGTTTCTGTAGCTGCAGAACGTATCCTCCTTTTAGGATCATTTGATCGTAGCATCGTAATCTCTCTCGATCTGTCAGCAGTGCGAAACACCCGCATCGTACTGTAGAAGCATTTTCACTCCAAGCAATGCTGGAGTTCTCACATTCAGCATTTATCTGCGCGTGGAACGCCATCGTCATTCTCGCTAGAGCTTCCCGTTCCCTACCACACTGCATCCGACGTTCGCAGATCTAGCAAATTCCGTATCATTCTCGAGCTTCCGGAGCTGAAACCCCTTTCTGTTATGGCAGCGTAGCAGCGTACTACCGTGCCTCGTTGTTGGCTCGGATGCATCGCATCGCGAAGCGTCGCGTCGAATGCAGCGCGAAGCGTCGCGGCAATGCTGCAGCTCCCGTCCCCGTAACGTTGTGCTACACAGTGCCAGCTCGTGACGTGTCGGTCGGAGATTGAGTGCTTCGATCGAGTCGTGGTGTGCGTTGAATGGACTCGAAACGTTCTGCTCCGAGCCGGAGCAAACGAACGAGCCTCCGCGGGCCGCCTGGAGGGGACGACCGCCACAGTCACTGTGGTGTCGACGATCAGCGATCGACGATGGACGACCGACGGTCGATAATCGATGGAGGAAGGAAGGACGGTCGAGACGCCAGTTGACGGTGGATGCGAAGGAGGGCAGGAAGCTTCCGAAAGTCCTAACGGACTCCGAGCTTCGCAACAGTCATGGTGCTAGTACTAAGCACGCAGAGCTTAGCGGTCCGGCCCACCCTACGGCCTGCAAACCTCTCTCCAGTGGTCCACCTTAAGGCCTGGCGCTGCGTGCTTACTAAGCACTACTAGTAGTACTAGTACTAGTACTTCGTCAACAAGTTATTTTCCATATGAGTACTACTCGTAGTTCTCTACCATCCCATCCGTGCTAGCAGCACTCCGAGCACTCCGAGCTCTCCGAGCACTCCAAGCACTACTACCACTGAGACTCTTGGTGCTCTCTTCAACAGCCATCACTTCCCCTGCTCTCCGCCGCGGCTGCTCAGTCACACACCTTCATTACTATCACATTTCGAGAACAATCCCACCTAACGTAACCCTTTCACACCATGGCGTGCCATCGCTCCCTTCAATCCCCAGCGGCAACAACGGCTGCAGTCCCTCAAACTACGAACTTTTCACCTTCAGAGCCTCTCTATCGGTATCCCTCACTCCCACTGGACGGTGAGCCATTTCCGCCTTTGCGTCACGTGCTCACTGGCTGCTCCGCGCGAGCACGTGCCGCCACACATCACTATGTTTGCGCCACACCCAGTGCTGCCCCGCCCGCCCGCCGCCGTGCCTTTTCCGCCACGGAGTGCGGGCGGCTCCTGTTCCCCTCGCCTCCCCGTGCAGACAAACCCGCCACCTGTGGTTTCCGCTGCCGCCGCCACCAACTCGCTGCTCTGTCCATGAAACCCCCCTCCGATGTCCGCCCTTCCGCTGTGGAGGCCGATACAGCACAACGTGCGAGCTCCAGACCTGGGGGCTCATCTCAAAACTAGAATTTTAATGAATGATAGAGTTAGAGAGTACATGCACATATACCTAAATGTTGTACCCTCTAGGAGGTTACCCTATACAGTCTATACAAACATGATCAATAATACCTACATGTTTGACACACCCCCTGGACTGCATAGGGGAATGTCCTAGACAAGCAGCTCAGGGCGGCACTACTAGTCCAGCCTCTGAGACAAGGGTCTAAAAGACCAGTCAGAAGGAGTACAGACAAGACAAGAACAAGTACAGGGCGGCACTACTAGTCCAACCACTGTGAGAGGACACAAGTCCAGTCTGAGTGTACACATATATATAGGACAGTACAAAGTCCAAGGCCCGAGTAAGTGAGGGACTACAGGAACCAGACCAAGCTGTACACAGTGCCGCTGATGATCTTTAGGCGCAAGCGCCTTCGTAAAGATATCAGCTGTGTTGGCACCGGAGGCCAAGTGTACTACGCGAGCCTGGCGACGCTGCTGTAGCTCGCGCAGGAGGAAGTACCGCAGCTGGATGTGCTTCGCTCTACCCTCGAGTCGAGGTTCCTGACACAGGAGGATCATGGCCCTGTTGTCAGCGTACAAGACCGGGGGCAGAGCTAGGGCGCTCACCTAAGTCAGTGAGCAAGAAGGTCAGCCAGCGGAGCTCCTGTGCCGCCATGGCACCGGCGTAGATCTCAGCCTCACAGCTGGACTGGGCAACAGACGAGGAGCGGGTAGCTCTCCACGAGACAGCACCTGAGCCAAGGCTAAAACAGTAGCCCTGGGAAGACCTGAGCGTCTCGGCGTCGTCTGCCCAAGAAGCGTCTGTGTGTCCAGTAAGGACCACTGGCCTGCGTCCGCCTAGCACTAACCCCATGCCCGATGTACTTGCAAGATAACGCAAAACCCTCTTAGCAGCAGACCAGTGCTGAGGTCTGTCTGCCTGTGGCCACGAAACGAGCCAGGATGCTGAGAGGGTATGCGAGATCTGGCGAGTGCAAGTCATCAGGTACATGAGGCAACCCACTAGCTCAGCGTAAGGACCACTGGATCTACCGACTCCTCAAACTGGAGCGGAGAGTCTGTGGTCCAGAGGAAGAGGGTGGGCTGTGCGGAGGAGAACTGAAGGCCGAACCTCTGAAGGACCTGGCGCACCAAGTGTGACTGAGTCAGGGTGATGGTGCGCGCTCTGTCCCTGGAGATCTGCAAGCCAAGTAACGGCGCAGCTCTCCAAGGTCAGTGCAGGTGTGTCTCTTCAGCAGCTCTGCCTTCACGGAGGCCAGTGCGTCCCTGTCAGCTGTGGCAAAGACCAGGTCGTCTACGTAGACGAGGATGTAGAACGGAGTCGGCCAGCACGAACGAAGAGCGAGGGTCTGCAGAGGACGGAAAGAACTGCAGGTCAGCAAGTAGCACGCAGCGTGTCGTGCCACTCACGAGGCGCCTGGCGCAGGCCGTAGACTGGGCGCCGCAGAAGCCACTGGTCCCAGGGGGAAGGTGCCAGTAAAGCCCTGAGGACGACGCAGGTAGACCTGCTCGTGAAGGCTGCCCTGAAGAAGGCAGTGGAGAAGTCGAGGGAGTGAAGCTCGTAGTCACGCTGAGCCGCTACGTGTACAGAACCCGAAGAGTAGTCATCTTCGGGGTAGGAGCGAAAGTCTGAAAGAAGTCCACCCCCTCGCGCTGACTGAAGCCTCTAGCCACGTAGCGCGCCTTGAACACAGGCGGCTCTCCAGGGCGCTTCACCTTGAAAGCCAACGGCCATCGACCACGTTCACCCCAGGTGGGGGAACTGCGTCGACGAAGGTGCCGGTGGATCTCCAAGATGCCATCTCCTTCCATGGCAGCTATCCACTGAGAGCCCAGGTCCCGAAACCGCCTCAGCGTAAGTACGAGGGGTCGGGATGTCGAAAGCGTCTGGGTCACCCTCAGGGACTAGCAGCATGGAACAGAGATGGGGAGCAGCCTCGGACAGGAAAGCAAGCTCAAACTGGCGGTCCTCCAGGACGTCACTGCCGAGGGCAGGAGCACCCCCGACAGACGGAGGACAGCAGGGTCAGAGACCAGAGCGAGCGTAGTCAAGGCGGCGGGTAGAGGCGAAGTCAGCGACCGCGACAGGGCGTCAAGACTCGACACTGGAACAGACGGGTCGGTAACGAAGAGGCAAGACCCGAGGAACAACAGACGAGCGGCACGAAAGTAGTCAGACAGAGGAGAGACGCAACGACAAGAGAGACGGAGGAGGAGACGGGAGGAGGGAGGACGAGACGCTGGGACCGGAGCAACATAGGGTGAGCGCGGACGGGGAGACAGGACGAGCACGGAGGGCGGCGAGACCAGACGTGAGAGGGGGCGTCGGTCAGGAGACAGAGGAGGGACACTGGGGAACGAGGGAAAACGAGCGGGACGAGTCCGGGGAGGAACACGGCCGTAGACGGGAAGAGAGGAGACGGCAGAGAGGAACAGGCGCAGGTCAGGGACGGAAGGCCGAGCAGACGGAGGGCGACACCGGCGGGACTGCTGCTGCGGCGACACAACACCAACGCCAGGGCCACAAGCTGCGCGACCTACCTCCCGAACCCTCCACACCGGCACCCCCAGAAGGGACACCCCCAGAGCCCGAAACCCCGCCAGCACCACCACCCGCCGGACAAGCCACGACAGGAGCCCCGGACTAGTACCCACCTCAACGCCAGCACCCCCAGAGTCCACAAACAGCGGCAGCGACGCGCCGCGTGCGCGGCGCTGCCGCGGGAGACGACGGCTG